GAACGCAAGTAATCTGCCACAGTGCCGTGAAGCAGAGGCGAGCAGTAAGGCTCAGAGCCGTGCCGAACACTGTAGCGCAGAGAGTAGCTTGAAGGAACAGGAAGCATTATTATTCCAACGCTGCGATGAACCTTTGTAAAGCTAGATGGCTTGCAGAATGTGAAGACTGCAGACAATATCTGCTCGGGAGCGAATGAATGGGGTACTTGAGGACGATGACGAAGGTTTGAAGTTGTAGTTTTCGAAGGTTGTTGGTTGCGTGTTCATATCACGTCGGCGTCACCACTGTGGCGGGTGGAAGGAAAGGAGAGATCTCCCGCCGAGCAAGGTGTTCTGCCCGTGGAGCGGCCAACGCTGCGACTGGTAGTTCGGAGTATGGCGGGGCTGTCGTCGCGCCACAAGCGAAACACATCGAAGCCTAAATCGCGCTAACAAAGTTCCGAAGTTAAAGCAGCATATATAGAATAGCTCCGAACTACCAATCGGAGCGCTGGCCGCTCCCCGAGCAGAACACCTTGCCCGGCGGGAGATTTCCCCTTTTCATTCCACCCGCCACAGGAGCTATTCTATATATGCTACTTTAACTTCGGAACTTTGTTAGTGTGATTTAGGCTTCGATGTGTTTCGCTTGTGGTGCGACGACAGCGCCGCCTAACTAGAAACGAGACATTCTATCTTAGTTCTCAGAGGTAACAACGCATGTGCTATACTAAATTGACTAATAGATACTAAATTGAGGTTAGACGTAGATGTCTATGGGCCACAGCATCCACTTACCATCGGGTGGACTTTATGCTAGTTTGCACCCTTATTCTATAAAGAAAACTTTGTCAGAACCACTACAATACTTAATTGTGATTTGTTAATAACAAATTGTTAAGCTGAGACCCATTCATCTCCAGTTCAAGTACCGACTTTTGTAAACGGGAGAGACAAGCAATACCTGCAACAAATGGTCGCATCTTCAAGGAATATACGACTGGAGAAATTCCAGATTCGGATAGCAACATGTGTTATTGCAGAACATAGTTCTTATTACAACCATATAGGTGTTACAGACAGTTAACATACATAAACATTCACGCCTGTCACCCAGAGGGGTAGGCAGCGACTATGTATTTTCATTTGGCACCATCCTGACACACCAAATGGATAAGGTGACTTAATCGATGGATTAGGATGACAAGCGAGCACACATTCCACCAAATGGTAAGTGGTTGCTGTGGCCCATAGACATCTACATCTATCCTCGATTATGAACAAAATGCAGATGCGTTGTCACCCGTGAGGACTAAGATGGAATGCCTCGTTTCCAGTAAAAAGGGTCTCCGGTTCTGTACACACACCAAACGAAACACAGCAGGATTAAGTTGCTGTTTTACGCTGGTATTCTGTGAGAGCGTGGTCCTTCCTCGGTCGAGCCGATCGTGCCGACCAATTCGTAATAAAACAGTACTATTAATATAGCTGTAGCATGGTTCTACCATGTGTAATATTGATCTATAACCCTTTGAGACCCTTAATAGGAGCTAGTTATTTTGATTAGCAGACACTTCAATTTTGTTTGTATATATACCGAAAAAAATCGTTAGGTTAACTATGGCTACAACATCACCCATCAGAGGCCATGAGGTATTTTGGTATTTCCCTAAGTTACCACTTACGTCGCCCACACGTCAATGTTTTTAACTAATTATATATTTAAATAATATCTTTTTTATGGTTTTTAAACTACAAAAGCACCAAGAATAGGTACCAAATAGAAACGGTAAGAAACGATTATAATTATCAACAACGTAAGATATACGTAAAAACAGACGCTTGACCGTAAATGATCATGCTGCATGACGGACTCCATGCTATATCATCAATCATTCTTGACGGCTCCGTGGCGCAGTGGCTTAGCAATGAATTTCAGCGCTGAAGACCGGAGCCTTTAATTCAGCACGCTACAAGGATTTGTATGGCCTACAAATAATTGTTCCGGGTCTGGATTTTGGTGATCGGTTTGTCCTTGTGAAATTTATCTATGTAAACTGCCTCTACGATACAGGAGAAAATCCTAGTTTTACGTATTTTTTTTTCAAACAAAAAAAAGCTTATAACATTTCAGGACTGCCAGCATTACATTGAAAATGTCTCTGAGCAGTTGTGTAATTATTATTTACATGTTCTTTTTCTTTTGCTGCGCAGCAAAAAACAAAATTTTGCTTAAAGAAATGTTTATCGTTATTTTTTTTACTTTTTTATTGCTTGACATTCCATTTCAAGGACAATGCATGCATGAGAGTCATAGCTTCATCATCATCATCATTACAGCCCATAACAAGTCCACTGTTGAACATAGACCTCCCCCAAGTATTGATAAATCATAGCTTTTACTACGTAGTTTGCATTTCATTCGTTTCAATTAATACAATTAAACGGTCATGCATACATACAGACATACTTTAAGTGATGTGTGTTAAGTGTTAACCGACTAGGGCCCACCAAGTACATTGTCCATTAAACTGTAACTTTCTGAAACTTTGATTTAAATTGGTTTACAGAAAACAGCTATATATAGCAATTTATAACATAAATCCGAAAAATTTTATATTATATTACGCCACTAGGAAGAAAAGTATGCCATTTCAACCCACGTGGTATTGTGGTATAATGATAAGAACACGGGTTGCGATGTCATACTTTCCTCCCGTTGTGCGTATACTATTTCTTATCATACATTGATCAAAATGAATGTACCTTAAAATGTATCATGACCAGTACCTCTATATATAAAAGAGGTCAGTGATCATGACATATATTTCTGACGATAGAGATAGATACTTTTTTTATAGAATAAGGGTGACAAACGAGCACACAGTCCACCCGATGGTAAGTGGTTGCTGTGGCCCATTTACATCTACATCTATATTCATTTGCGAATTAAAATGCAGATGTGTTGTCAGCCGTGAGGACTAAGATAATGCCTCTTTTCCAGTAATACGAAACGCAGCAGCATCAAGCTGCTATTTTACGCAGGTATTATGTGAGAGCGTGGTCCTTCCCCGGTCGAGCCGACCCATTCGTGCTACAACTATACTATTGATATAGCTGCAGTATGGCTCTACCACGTTTAAATTTGACGCATGCGTACTAAATTAATAAGTCATATTGAATCGGAGGCATTGTGGCACTTTCGTTCCTGAAAGTAGGGTATACGAACTTTCGATCAAGGTATTATAAAAAAAAAATTATTTCCCTAGGTCCTATCCATTAAAAAGTTTAAAATTTATATGAAAAAGAATAAGCTGTATATATGGTTTATCTGTCGGTATATCGAAGTGTTGAAGTGCTTGTACAGTAGGGCTACGATGGCTATCCGAGTACAGAACCAGAGTACGAAACCTATCCAATTGCAGAGAGGTGTAAGACAGGGTGACGTCATATCCCCGAAACTCTTTACCGCTGCATTGGAAGATGTTTTCAAGCTTCTGGACTGGAAAGGATACGGTATCAACATCAATGGCGAGTACATCACTCACCTTCGATTTGCCGACGATATAGTCCTTATGGCAGAATCGCTGGAGGACCTAAACACTATGCTCAATGACCTCAATAGAGTTTCCCAACGGATAGGTCTTAAGATGAACATGGACAAAACAAAGATCATGTTTAATGTCCATGTCACACCTATGCCGGTAGTTGTTGGGAACACTAAGCTCGAAGTTGTTGACGAGTATGTTTACCTGGGACAAATAGTCCGACTAGGTAAGTCCAACTTCGACCGAGAGGTCAATCGACGGATTCAACTCGGTTGGGCAGCGTTCGGGAAATTACGGCACATCTTCTCGTCAGGTATACCTCAAAACTTGAAAACGAGACTGTACACCCAGTGCGTGTTGCCAGTGATGACATACGGAACTGAGACGTGGTCCTTCACTGCTGGCCGGATGAGGAAGCTCAAGGTCGCTCAGCGAGCTATGGAGAGGGCTATGCTCGGAGTTTCTCTGCGTGATAAACTCAGAAATGAGGATATCCGCAGTAGAACTAGAGTGACCGACATAGCCCAACGGATTAGTAAGCTGAAGTGGCAGTGGGCCGGCCATATAGCTCGAAGAACCGACAACCGATGGGGAAGAAAGGTTCTCGAGTGGCAGCCTCGTACCGGCAGGCGAAGTGTAGGGCGTCCCCCCACTAGATGGAGTGACGACCTGGTAAGATATGCAGGAAGTCGATGGATGCAGGTGGCTCAGGACCGTGCTTTGTGGCATTCTTTGGGGGAGGCCTATGTTCAGCAGTGGACTTGTGAAGGGCTGTAATGATGATGAATGATGATGATGGTTTATTATAATTAAAAAAAAATACATGATTGATTCATGAATTAGCCCTGGGAATGATATGATTGGTCATGGTCAATAGTATGAAAAAAGAGGCCTGCAGGGTTGCTCACTTGTTGATCCCAGGATAGAAGTAATTCTGAACCAGTGGTTAAAGCATAAATGACTTTCAATAAGTATTATTTGTCAAAGTTACAGCCTATATTCGTTCCACTGATGGGTACAGGCCTCCGATCATTTCTGAGAGGTTTTATAGGGTAAGAAAGTAACCGCCGGGCTGTCCTAATGCGTGTTTGCTAACTTCACATGTCTTCGAAATATTTTTGAAGTGACAACTTTTATAATAGTTGTGATTTGAAACGAGATGAAACAAAAAACGACACTAAAAAGAGACAAACATAATATACTCCTATAGTATTTAGCCTGCGAGAGAATGGGATAGAATGCAATATACAGTGTTCCTACTATTATCTCGGCCTCCTTTTCTGAAGGTTTCACTTCTACCGCGTGTTAACTACTCGCACACGCATGTTATTTTTTCTTATTTCTCAGATATGCACGTTTCCTCACGATATTTTCCTTCACCACCGAGCACGTGGTAAATTCTTACCTCATCTTATCTTATCAGCCCATAACGTCCCACTGCTAGGCAAAGGTCTCCCCAACCTCTTTCCGCCTTTAACGGTTCTGTGCTAAGGAGGACCAGTCTTCCATGAAGGAGTCCAGTTCATCCCGCCATCGTTTTCTGGTTCTGCCTCGGGGTGGTCTGCCATTTATAGGAGTCTACCGAGTTGTAATTTTAGCCCAAAGTTCCACTGTCATACGGCACACATGACCGGCCCAGTCCCATTTTAGTTTGGCGGATTTACGGGAGACGTTAGTGATTTGGGTTCTGGAGCAAGGAGTGGTATTTCTGATACGGTCTGTTAGTCTGACTCCTAGCATGCTGCGCTCTATTGCTCGTTAACACACCCCGAGATCGGACCTCTGTGGCTTGGTGAGAGACCAGGTTTGGGCACCATATTCCAAGAATAGAATAGAATGATTTTTATTCAATATGGATTATTACATAATACTTATTGAAAGTCATTATTTTATTTACCACTGGTTCGGAAAATACCTCTGTCCTGGGAAGAACCAGCAAGAAACCCAGCGGGACTTTTTTTTAAACATAATTACACTTAACAATAATTTTGTATATACAATTTTAAATGAATTTTCATAGAACCAGCGTGGTGGCGATCACCTTATTCCCAGGGGTTATTTTCATACATGTATTCCTTGATATTATAATAACCCTTTTTGTACAGTTTTTCTTTAATAAAACTTTTAAACTTGTTTATTGACAAACTTTGAACATGTTCTGGGATTCTGTTGTAAAAGCGTATACATTGCCCCATAAATGAATTACTAATTCTGTGGAGTCTTGTAAGTGGCATTACAAGCTTATGTTTGTTCCTAGTGTTTAAGGTATGAACATCCTTATTCTTATTAAAGCTATTTATGTTTTTATGTACATACATTACATTTTCATAAATATATTGCGATGCCAAAGTTAATATGTTTATTTCTTTAAATTTTTCTCTATAATCTAAATTGTAAAGAGTCCCTCTTTACAATTTAGATTATGAATCGCCCGTACGGCTCTCTTTTGCAAAACAAATATAGCTTCAATATCAGACGGGGAGGATGCACATGTCCATGAGTTTGCGTTTAAGGAATAATGGTGCATCGCCCTTCATTAAATGTTTTAAGGCCCAATAGCTCTTCAAGGCATTTTCTGTTCATCGGGCGATCTCTATTTCTTACCTTGTCAGGAAATAAACTAAGGCACAAATAAACACACTCATGAACATATTCAACCTCCACGTCATCTATATGTATCCTGTGCTTGACATTATTTGTCATTAACTTGGTCTTTTCCATATTCATCAGAAGTCCAACTTCCAGGCTAGCTGTTCGTAGCTCGTTGAGCATTTCTCCCAGTTCGTTAACCAAGGATGGGAAGAGAATAATGTTATCAGCAAATCTAAGATTGCTTAACCTCTTTGATCCAATCTTGATGCCTTTCTCGAGCCAACTATCTGCCAGTTTCCGAAATACTTCTAAGATGGCAGTGAAGAGTTTCGGCGATAACGGGTTGCCCTGTTTAACTCCTTTTAGAATAGGGAAAGAAGCTCCTGTGGTGTTCAGTTTTATTACGATGGTATTGTTATTATAAATATTTTTAAGTAAATGTATATGAGAGAGTTATGTGTCACATCACATGCTTCACACTATGAAATGCTTTAGAGTAGTCGACAAAGGCCAGATATAAAGGAATTTGATACTCTGTATGTTTCTCAATGATTTGATTCGCAGCGTGCAGGTGGTCGGTGGTGGATAAGCCAGGTCTAAATCCAACCTGTTCGGAGGGCTAATGAGAATTTAGCTGTCAACTAATCCTGTTCTCAATTATTTTTATAAAGATTTTATATAGGTGTGTAATAAGATTTATGGGCCAGTAATTATTGATGTTAGATTTCTCACCTTTTTTATGTAAATGAATTATGTTAGAACTACAAAATGGTTTTGGAAAGGTGCCGGACTATAATATTGAGTTAGATAAGTTAGTGATGTATGGGAGAAGAACGATTTGCCAAACTATAAGGCCTCTGTTGTTATACCATCTTCTGAGGGACTTTTCTGGTATTTCATCATTTTTAAAGTTAGGCGTTAGGTGCAATATTCTCGGGACATGAATATTCGGAAGTAGACTGTGGCAGGTCTTTGTTATGATACAATTTAGAATATTATTCGGTACATATTTGTAATATTTTGTCTCTATTGCCGTGTCTTATACTGTGATCGTCTTTTAGGCTTAAAATTGCCGATTTTCCTACTTTTATACCTTGTTTAGCTCTTTTCAATGACGGGTTTGTTATAAACTAATTTACTTAATTCCGCGTAAAGAAATAAAATGATGTGTCCTGCCCAGTTTCAAGGGAACCTCCCACCCTCCCTCAATCGCGCGCACTATACTCGTCGCCGTTAATCCCAGCACTACCACTTCCAGCACCACCACACTAGGCACGACACACTACTCTCGAAAATAAGACACGCCAAAAGACGTTTCGCCTCTACACGAGGCATGCGAGGTTACGTCAGCAAGTAGTATAAATAGCAGTAGTTTCGGCTCGCCGCTCACTTAGCGGCCAGCCTCCGCAGAGTCTACTTCACCTGAGAATGCCTCGTATAAAGGCAAAACACGTGGTAGTGCTGGGATTAACGGCGACGGGTATAGTGCGCGCGATTGAGGAAGGGTGGGAGGTCCCCCTTAAAACTGGGCAGGACACATCATTTTCTTTCTTCATGCGGAATTAAGCAAATTAGTTTATAACAAACCCATTATAATGGATTTCCGCAAAGTAACGCCTGATACTATCAATTATCTTTTCAATGAGGTTCAATTCTCTAGTACGGATGTAAATATAATGATTTCTTATATTTACGCGAACACTACACATTTAAATAAAACTAATTTTACGGATTTTATCGCGTATATTAACTTATTTTACATTCCCGACGTTTCAAGCACTTTACAGCACCCATGGTCACGGGGGGGACTAAGGTGTATGACGTCCCAATGTCATAGTTAACCACGGCTACCTCCAGATTAAAAATTATTAATTTTTGTTCCGATCTACGCAGTATGAACTTACAGTATCATGAAGTCTTGCAGTAGTATGCTTGGGTTGGGATTTAATTTTATTAATTATGGGATCCCAAGCAGATGGTAGCACCCAGCCATCTTCTCTATTGAAATTAGGATGTTTTTTGATTTCAATAGCCTCGCGAATCATCCTTGGAAGGAATCGGTGTTCTTTAGCGAGGATTTGTGGTCTATCAAATCTAATGTAGTGACGGGGGCGATCCTGTACATGTTCACAGACTGCAGACTTCCCGGAGCGTCTATACTTCACATCAGCTATGTGTTCTTTAACGCGGGTTTTTATGGATCTTTTAGTTTGTCCTATATAAGAGAGACCACATTCACAATCCAGCTTGTACACTCCTGCATCTTGCAGAAGAATATTATACTTGACTGATGGTAAAAACTGACTAATCTTCTTCGGCGGCTTGAAATATGTTTTAATGGAAGCACGCTTCAAGATGTAGCCAATTTTGTCTGTGACACCTCTGACATATGGCAGTACAGCAGGCACTCGCTCGACTGTGGCCGGCTTCACTCGTTCACTGTGACGTAGGCGCGGGACCCGAAGCTTATTGTCGTGCAAAACTTGCTTGACGTGTTGGAGCTCGGCGGCCAGGTGTTTACTGTCACAGATCCCTCGTGCTCTCTGAAACAAAGATTTACCCACGGTAGCTAACTGTGAAGGATGGTGATGAGAATCACCGTTTAAATATCTATCTGTACGGGTCTTTTTTCTATACACAGTGTGGCTCAAGGTGTTATCAGGATTCCGAATTACTAACACATCTAGAAAAGCTAAAGAATTGTTTGCCTCTAACTCCATTGTGAACTGAATTTTAGAATTTAAGAAGTTAAGATGGTCTAAAATTGTGAAAGTGTCGTCTACGTACCGCTTGTAGAATCTTGGGTTTATGGGAGGAGTAAGCAGGGCTTTCTCCTCAAAGTCCCATAATTAATAAAATTAAATCCCAACCCAAGCATACAACTGCAAGACTTCATGATACTGTAAGTTCATACTGCGTAGATCGGAACAAAAATTAATAATTTTTAATCTGGAGGTAGCCGTGGTTAACTATGACATTGGGACGTCATACACCTTAGTCCCCCCCGTGACCATGGGTGCTGTAAAGTGCTTGAAACGTCGGGAATGTAAAATAAGTTAATATACGCGATAAAATCCGTAAAATTAGTTTTATTTAAACGGAAGTAAATAGTTTAAGATTATAGTTTCGAATATCTTTACATATAGCTCTTTTTACAATTTTATCTTTAGCTCTATATTATATACTGTTATGAATTGCCTTTTGTCTCTCGTCTATAAGAATTTCGGTAGTTTTGCTAATTTTGTTCTGTTTCTATTTTTTTGGTTAAATCTTATTACAAGCTCTTCTTATGTCATCTTTGATTATATTGTATTGGCAGACAACAGCTGAATTTAAAAAAAAACTGCGGCCGCCAACCCGCTTGTCAAGCGTGGCAACTATGACAAATATCCTTCTTAATTATAGGCCAGTGTATGAAGGAAGCCTATGTTCAGAAGTGAACTTTTGATAGGTTGTTACGAATGATGAATAATTGAAAATTCAAAATTACACAAAATCTGTACATATAAATAAAATTGAAGTGATATATACATCAATTTTACTTCATTTATTGTAATATTGAAATAACCGACTTCTATTAAGCCCACACGGTTGTTTGCATGTGGTGAAGGCAGAAATAATCATTTCTAAAATTTTTGTCTGTCTGTGTGTCCAGCAGCGAAGCCGTGGCGGACCGCTAGTAGATTATAAAGTCCTTAAAATCTGTACACGTTTTATAAAGACTAATGCAAATAAATCACACCTCACTTTCACATTCTCAAAACTCGCATAACCGCGAAAAAACACAAATATTTCAAGACAGTTTATGTAACTAACACGTTAGCTTATATCCAAGCACCGATAACGAAATGTCGGTTTATTTTTACAGAACAAACATTTCATTATATAACAGAGATGCAATATTAACAAATATAAAATTTTTAACTAGGTTTTAAGACTCCATTTCTGTTTAGATGTCCAATTAAAGTA